CGACGCCGACGGAAAAGCTGACGGCCAGAGAACTAGAGAACAAACACTGCTGCCACAACGGTGAGGTTTACATTACATTACATTACATTTAGCTGACGCTTTTATCCAAAGCAACTTACAATAAGTGCATTCGACCAAGAACATACAACCTTGAAGAAAACAGAATCATATAAGTACATCAGGTTTCATAGAGCCAAACATTTCAAGTGCTACTCAACTGGCTTCAGATAAGCCAGCCCTTTATTAGTATATAAGTGCTTTGTTAGTAATTCTATCTCTCCAAGTGGAGTCCAAAGAGATGAGTTTTCAGTCTGAAGAAGATGTGTAAGCTTTCTGCTGTCCTGATTTCAATGGGGAGCTCATTCCACCATTTTGGAGCCAGGATAGCAAACCCACGTGTTTCTGCTGATGGGAACTTGGGTCCCCCTCGCAGTGCGGGTGCAGCGAGCTATTTGGCTGATGCAGAGCGGAGTGCACGTGCTGGAGTATACGGTTTAACCATGTCCTGGATGTAGGAAGGGCCAGATCCATTCGCAGCATGGTACGCAAGTACCAGTGTCTTGAAGTGGATTCTAGCAGTTACTGGAAGCCAGTGAAGGAGCGGAGGAGCGGCGTGGTGTGGGAACATTTAGGAAGGTTGAAGACCAGACGAGCCGCTGCATTCTGGATGAGCTGCAGAGGTCGGATGGCACATGCAGGTAGACCAGCCAGGAGGGAGTTGCAGTAGTCTAGGCGTGAGATGACGAGTATGATGTGCTCCAGGACCATTCATTACATAAAGGGTCCTCTTTGATGAAACACTCCCGTTAACCTTCGCTGTCAGGTCTCTCAGCTCTCGGCTTTATGTCAGTCTTAAACATGGCGCTGTCGCACGAAGAGGGACTTGGTTCCAGTCTTCATCAGAGAGGAAGAGTGGATCAGAGTTCAGAGAGTTACGGGATAATCCTCTCAACTTCCAGAAGTAATCCAAAACAAACCCCACTTCCTGTTTCCTCCTGATGTCGGTAAGCCGAGTCGACTGTTTCCGTATCATCGTTACCTGACACACAGGAAATAATCCCTCGGTAAACGCTCCCGGTATCTCGCTCGAGTCGTTGTGGACGAAGAGATGAAAGGAATACAAGTTAGGGAGGAAGACGAGGAAGAAAGTGGGAAATAAAAGAGGAAACAAAAGAGAGGAAGTTTATCAGAAGACGCCATGAAGTTATGAATGTTAAAAAGTAAAAGAGGGAGTTGCAGTAGTCTAGGCGTGAGATGACGAGAGCCTGGACCAGAACCTGCGTCTCTTTCTGGGTCAGCTGGGGACGTNTGTTAGGTCAAGAGTGGGACAATCTTTTCCCGGAAGGAAAAGCAGTTCAGTCTTGTCAAGGTTGAGCTTGAGGTGGTGAGCAGACATCCACTGAGAGATGTCTGCTAGACAAGCAGAGATGCGTGCGACGACCTGGGTCTCTGAGCGGGGAAAGGACAGAATTAATTTGGTGTCGTCAGCGTAACAGTGGTATGAAAAACCATGCGGGCTAATGACAGATCCGAGCGAGTTTGTGTACAAGGAGAAGAGGAGGGGACCAAGAACAGAGCCCTGAGGGACCCCTGTAGTTAATTGACAAGGGTCGGACTCGGACCCTCTCCAAGTTACCCTGTAGGTGCGGTCTTTGAGGTATGAGGTGAGGAGGGAAAGTGCAGAGCCTGAAACTCCAAGTTCTTGGAGAATGCGAAGGAGGATCTGATGGTTCACCGTGTCGAATGCAGCAGACAGGTCCAGAAGGATGATGACAGAGGAGAGGGAGGCTGCTTTAGCCGTGTGCAGTTCCTCAGTGACAGCAAGGAGAGCAGTTTCTGTGGAGTGACCTGCCTTTAATACACATACACGCACACACACTTCCTGTTGGAGCGATTGATAACTGGATAAGGGTTTGATAACACACAGACACACACACAAACACACACCGTAGAAGAAGTACATAGATTACTACACATTTTCCCAATTTGAGATGAATAAAGTACATCAAAAAATAATTTAAAATACCAGATTTTCATACTAATTGTTAAGAATGATAGACTTCAGACACACACACACACATATGCTGGGGTGCATGTTGTAAAGTGATGTTTATAACTGTGTTTTTCATGTGTTTGCAGAGAAACGAGCCTGCCTCTGTCTGCCTCTCAACTCCAAGAACACAGGGTGAGTCTCTCTATGTAATGATAATATGAGATAAGATGAGATGAGATCAGATCAGATCAGATCAGATCAGATGAGATCAGATCAGATCAGATGAGATCAGATGAGATCAGATCAGATGAGATCAGATCAGATCAGATCAGATCAGATGAGATCAGATGAGATCAGATCAGATCAGATCAGATGAGATCAGATCAGATCAGATCAGATGAGATGAGATCAGATCAGATCAGATCAGATCAGATCAGATCAGATACCTTTTTCCAGGTAGATTTCTGATAAAGAGTCTGATGTGAACTCCAAATGGATTCACTGGAAGCTACTTATCCACATTGCTGCATTGGACTTCATGCAAATGGTTTATTGATGATTGCTGATGGAGAGGCAGCTTCCATTAAGCAGCGGACGATGAGTGCAAACCACGGCGTTCATTTCCTCTGCTGTCATCTAAACATAATCCCCCTCTAAATGGTTCGATCCCACTTGTTTTGTTGCAGAAATGATATGATCTAGTGCTTCACGATGTGGCAGCGCTCCATAACTCATACACTTCCAAGTATTGAGTTGTTTAGTCCGGGAGGATTTGTTGTTGGCAGGGAGGAAAAAACCGTTGAAACTAAGACAGATAACACGACGCAGATGAACACATTTAGCAAAGTTTGACGGATCGGTTGTGGATCTTAAAACCTCTGTTTGCTGCAGACGGGTTTTTCCAACACAGTTTGGATCTAACCATTCCTTCTTCTGCATGACCAAAGCATCGATGCAGCGTCAGAGTCACCTTCAGTCTCTTCATAGAGCATCTTCTTCAAAGTAGATTCTGGCACTTTTCCACTGGGGCTGATTGCAGCACCACAGATAGTTCTTAGTCACACTTTGAATATGTATGCACAGGTTGGAGACAAATGGATGAGGAGACAAGTAGATAGGAGGAAGGGATGTGAGGATGAAGGATAAGAGAACGAAGGGATGAAGGAAGGAAAGGAAGTAGGGGTGAAAGGAAAAGGGGATAAAGGGATGTCGGAATGAAAAGCCACCTGCAAAGATGTAAGGGGCTAATACATGAACAAAATAGAAGTGAACCTTCATAAATCATGGTTTGCATTCATGTCATGCTTAATCTCATAAAACCAGATCAAATAGGCCCAAATTTCATTTTTAAAGATCCCTAATGAACGGGGACCTCTGCCTGGCTCTGATTTTAATCTGTGCCAGACAAACTGCTCTTGCTTTTAAAGATCGACCCCCTCCCCTCCCGCTTGGATCTTCTCCAGCCAGGCTGAATGTTTCCCTCCACAAACTCCTGGCGTCCGTCCATGTTCTAAATGAGCCTGTCTTCTGAACCAAAAAAAGAAAGAGTTGTGTGTGTTTGGTTTTTTATATATTTGACTCTCCTGTTCTCTGAGGAGTTTCAGTAATAACCCGCCTGAAGCCAATCCACTCCATGCTGCCTTTCTGGAGAAACAGAAGCAGACAGCCAGGAATAGAAAGCAGAAGGAGAATAGGGGAGGACATGTGGCTGTTGTGATAAGAAACGAGGAGCGCGGTAGCTTTTACCGAGAGAAACATCATTCAGATTCAGCAGACATCAGCTGGAGCTATTTGTGTGTCATGGGGAACAAAAGCTCTGTTATTGGATTCCTTTTGACTCGGATGATTGCAAAATACAACAGACTCCAACATGACAAAGCACTCTTTAATTTAACTCTTCTTTCTGTGTTTCCACCAGAGAGTCCCAGTACAGCAGCAAGCCTTTCGAGCAGACGCTGGGAGTGGATCTGTGCGGGACGGCAGGTAAACAAATCTCCTTAAGGGGACAATAAAGTATATCTTATCATATCGTAAACACAGATCATGTTTAATAAGGGTTTGTTTGGATGATGGCAACAGGTTAAAGCTCTAGAAATGTCCTCGTAAGAGCCAGGGGAGAGTGGGGTTACATCTGTTTTAGTTTGGGATTAGACGTAACAAGATGCCGGGTATGAACTGGGGCTGCTCGATTATGGCAAAAATCATAATCTCGATTAATTGGGTCAATAATTGATATCACGATTATTAAAAACGATTATCCATTTACTTTGAAAACATCAATTTATTGGAGAAAATAAATTTGAACAGTAAGTTTTGAACAGTTGATTACCCTGAACTTTAAATATAATAAAAAAATTTAAAAAAAGTATTAATAAAATAATAATCGTTTTATTTCGATTACGTTGTATTCGTAATCGTTGCAACCCATAATCGTAATTGCGATTCAAATAGGATTAATTGAGCAGCCCTAGTATGAACACTCGTAGACATTTAGGGTTTAGAGTTAGAAGCGAAGGTCGATAAACTCCCAAGGGATGAAGGGATGTATGAATGAAGATGAATGGATGAAGAGATAAGAGAAAGGAGGGAGGAAAGGATGAAAGGATGAAGTAATGTAGGGATGAAGAGAAAAAGATGAAGGGCATGAAAACTCATACACATGTAGGAGTTAGAAGCGAAGGTTGATACGACTTTCTTATGTGCAGTACATCTGTACATCTGGAGCTGGAGCCAGCAGACTGTTAGCCTAGCTTAGCATAATAAGGGGGAAACTAGCTACGCTCTACGCGGTCTTCCTTCCTAGAGGGTAAACGGACTGTATTTATAGAGCGCTTTATCCAATCCACTGCTAGCAATAGCATATTGTTGCTAATAATGTGCGTCATATCAATACGCAGAAAGAAGTCTGGACAATTTAACGTCAGCTGCAGCCAAAATCAACAAATCAGTTAATAATGACCGGCTCTCTGCGTATTTTCGCTCACTAAGTCTGCGTATAAACCTGTGAAACACAGCTTATGTGCAGGACTATTTCTTGTCAGGATGCAGTTTGTTTTAAATGATTATATGATCATTTGACTCATGTTGTACCTCCTCCTCCCTCCTCAGGTCTCACCCCTCCCACCACCCCGCCTCACAAACCAGTGGAGGATGAGCTCTTCAAACCATCAGAGGCAGGAAAACCCAGCGATGTTGTCGGCGTTTCCACGAAGGCTTCCTCGTCCTGGCTTTCTCGCGCTCACCCTCCACGGAAGCTTCTGGAACAAACTGAGCTTTACGCCCAGTTGCGGCGCATGGGTCAGGCGGGCGCCAACGAATCCTACCGGACCTTCGGAGATCACGACTACTGCGCGCTGAGCCTCGGGGAGAGCAGGAAACGCAGCGCCGACATGTTGGGCGCCATGTTACAGGCGCAAAGTGGGGGAATGGATGGTAGCAAAGCGCCGAAAAATGTAGACGATCAGGGGTCGAGGGAGAGAGAGAGGGAGAGAGAGGAAGTGATGGTGGCGTCACAGATAGCAGAATTGCTGGAGCAGCAGATCACGACCACCACGACCAAAACGACGAAGAAGTTGGTGATTTCTTCGTTGCCGCCGCCCTCTCACTGCCAGTCGGCGACCGCTACGCCGCCGGTGTCCGAGGAGGAGGCGGAGAGATCGTCTGCGTCTCGCTCGCCATCACCCACAATGCACCTGTGTCCCGACTCCCCCGCCAGCAAGACAGACTCCAGGTGAGACAGAACACGATACAATGTTTCTTGCATCACAGCAGCTCCATTTGCAACTTCAACAAGGACACATATTAAGACACGATACAAGGAATAGACATTTACCATAACATGACGATCACTGAAGAGAAAACATGCTGAGTTTCAGCTGCAACTCTGTATTTAATTTGAGGATTAACTCGTGCACAAAGGAGTACTTCATTCAATCAAGTGGGACCCTGTTCCTCTGATTTGATAAAGATTCATATTCTCTGTTCAGGACCTGGTCGGAGTTAGAGATGATGTTGATATGTTGTTACGATCGGCTGGTTCATACAGTCTCTCACAGACCGACAACATTTGAGCAGATTTCCAACTGGTTGAGCAGTTTTGACTTTAAAGCTGTGGACAAACACTTGTACCGTGGAGGAAGTGGAGGGAGGGGTCAAGAAGATATCAAACTGAGAGAGGCAGGTCTCTCATGACCTATTTTATGTCGTAGCACAAAACATTAAAATGTCTTAAGCTTGTGTTAACCACAGACAGGCTAACAACCAAAAACACATTCTGAGAAACCATTGACTTCCAGACCAGGGACAGGCATTTTATACACTCTGATCCAAGTACCACTCTTGTGTAATTGTCTTGGCATATTGTGGCACATATGGGAAGCCAACTGCTCACAACACAGGGTCTACAATCTGTCTGTAGCTGTGAACAAAGACCAGTTAGAAGAACAGTGTGTTTGCAGAATGGATTAAACTCTACGTCTTATCCTATATATCGACGCACCAAGTCATAGAGACAAGAGTAAACAAAGGCTTTACTCTACATGCAGACATCTTTGGTTGTAAATGCGCCACAAGTCAAAGCATCAAACGCTGATCAGGAAAACATAGCATTGCAGCAACACGACCAACCATAGCCTTTGATGGTGTTTACTTTAAACAATATTCACCAGATCTCTGCATGTAGAGTGAAGTGAAAGTGATGCATTTACTGTGTAAGAAATCGTTCTTTAACCAAATTTTGTACATGTTTCAAAGACTGTACTGTGAATCAGGTCAGTGTTCATTCTGCCCTTGTAAGATACAGTGTGAGTTGACTTTCCACAGAATCAGGTCAGTGTTCGTATTATTTCTGTACCTGGCAGACTAAGGGAGGGGATGAAACAGTGAGAGGTGTTGCAGTGTTGCAGTCAGAGGGAGGAAGTGTCAGATTTTGCCGCAGTTCACCTGTTCCCTCCTGTCTGACATTTCAGCTTCACCTTCTGTCCTTTTCTCACTAACGCCTCTCTTTCTCTCTCGTTCACTTCTTAGTGAGAACTCGGAGATGTGTCCCGACGACAAGCAGAGGAACAAAGCCAAGTCTGACGAGGTACAGAGAACACACACACTTTCACACACCTTCACACACTCTTAAATATAAAGGCAAACTCCTCAGCAGAATGGGAGAAGTACTCAGATCTTGTTCACCCCTGCTCCTCAGTAGCCTTAAGACTTTAAAACGACACAAAGCATGCAGACATGATTTTAGGTCATGCTTATGCAAACTGATATTCAGATGCATGCTGCAGCAGGGAGGGGAAGTAAAGTGTTGTCCGTCCTGCAATCATTTCCCACGTATGTCCTCCTGCTCTGCGTTGTCCTATTTTTTAATGTATGTCCCTGACTGTTGCCATGGTTTCCCTGTTTCCAGGACAACTGCCAGGTGTTCTACATCCACAACCTGCCAACCAGCGTGACCCAGAACATGCTGCGGAAACGCTTCCAGGTTTTCGGAAAACCGGAGGACTGCAAAGTCATCATCTGCAACGAGTGAGTGTGATCCTGATTCCTCCTTCTGTAAATACATCCTTTATAGTCAGAGGGAGGTGTGGTACTCAGATAAAGTCCCATTGTTATTAACTCATACTAGACTGAGTTTTTTTATCTTCAGTAGACTGGACTACTTTAATATAAGTTGACAAATATGACACGTGGGGTTCCTCAAGGCTCCCTCCTGGGGCCTCTTCTCTTTCACATCTACATACTACCACTGGCTCAGATGATGAAAAATTAGTCCAGTCACAAGTAAGACGGGAACATTCTATGTCACACTCAACTGAAAGGTGTCTTAGTCCAGTCACAAGCATAATAAAGACATGGACCGTCTGATTCCCTCCCCTACTTTGTCACTCTCCACAACGTCACAACGTCAGTCTCCCTCCTTCACAGTCTAAAACGGCGTCAAGTGGACAAGGGAGGACAGACTGTAAAGTCGAAGTGGAAGACAGGAAAAGAGTGATTGCGGAGAGAAAGAGAGAGCAAGTGAAGAATCACTCTTGAGCCTCTACACAGGGCTGCTGTTCGTCTCCTTGTTTCGGTTCAGACTGCTCCATGTCTCTTGTGTGTGTGAAAGTGTGTGGAAGTGTGTGAGAATTTATATTTCCGTTTGAGGAGTCGTCTTACCCTCTTCATGAGTCTAGAACAAGTGGGGACGAGGAGTCATCGGAATTCTGAAATTTTGCTGTGTTTCGTACGTCTGTACTAAAATCCAGTACGAATACGTTTGACTATAAGTCTACGTACGACGTCGTCCCTCCCCTTCATTTCACAACAGGCAGGACGTTAGTAAAGGGTGCATACAGGAGGACGAGACGCAACAGGATAAAAAATTACATACAGGGACTGACAACGGTACCAAAGGGACAAAGGTCCTGTTGACGGTCCACAAGATGTAGGTGTTGGACGGTTGGTCGCACTGGGTCTTGTACGACGCCTTTGCGAAGGTCCAAAAGCCTTTTGGCCTCCTGACGTTTCAGTAGTAGACGTTGCTCACTCACACTAGGACTAAGGAGGAAGACATTTATGTAGGAAATATCAGTCTCCCTCCACACCATGAGTCTATTTCAGGGTAACAATAATTGAGTATGATCTGACTCAAAAAAATAGAAGTCATCTGACCTGATGAAATTATATTCAACTGTTTATACTGTGCACCCCAAGGAGTTCCGAGGGAGGACCCCGGAGAAGAGAAAGTGTAGATGTATGATGGTGACCGAGTCTACTACTTTTTATGTGTTTAGTTCGCGGATGATAGTGGACTTCTTATATAACTCCTAATTTTCTGATTCAGTGTCGTCGTAAACCTTTTTCACAGAAACACAGAATGTCGCAGAGTGTATTTTGTATCCTTGGCGACGTTGGAATAAGTCTTGTGGCCGAAGATTGTGAATCTTCAGTCAGGTTAAACTCCAGGAAAATGTCGACCGGAAGGACAGTCTCTGTCGGGCAAAATATTTTCGTGACTTACCAAATGAAGACTAGAGAGCGATTTTACTCTTGTAGGTCTTTGAAGTCCGAGGCAGCAAGGGTCTTGGTCTTGAGTTGTACCTCCTCAATGACGGAACACAACTTTCCACGATGTATGGTATTGATGAACGGAATTGATTATTGACTCACGGAAACTTTTTGGTCTAAATTTACCTGATCATTTTTTTGTAGCACCCATAGGTCTAGCCGTTGGACAACCAAATGTTCCTATCTGAGGCGTTAGGCAAGAAGAAAATTTCTTTCCCTTATGGAACGGAACGTGTCGTTGTAGTGACCTGTACTGTGACCTGATTCGCAGGTATTGGTTCCTGTGGTCGATAGGGGTACTTGAAAAGTTTGGTTTTTACCACAGACAAACACGTCTGTAAGAATGTTTGTAGTAAATACTTGGTAGAATTTTATCGCTTTATCGATACTACATCATTGATGTTTAGTCCGTATGTATTTTCAGGGTCCCTGTCTGGCCTAGGTTATCCCTTAATATGCGCGCGTGGTTATAGTGAGACATTAATAGTTGTAGATATGGAATGGTAGTTTATAGCGACGGCAACTTTACGGGAACTTACTTTCCTACGTTATACTAAGGTAACTCGAAGAGGTCAGAAATTGACTACGGTCCACTCCTGCAATAACGAAAGTAGAGAGTTTCTTTTGACAGGAAATTAGAATTACACACCCCACACACACACAAACGTCCCTCGCGACCACCCCACTGATTTCGCAGGCAGTCCGCCCCCAAGTCTTCGTCACCTCCCTTGTCTCGGTCGAAAAGGTCTTGCCGAGGACGTCCAGACTCCGACGGACTGCTCCTTTGCGATGTATGCTAAACCATTATTTGTGTGTGGGCCTTAAATATTCGTTGATGGTTGCACCTTTATTTCGAACCACCAGTAACACTGAGCCGTACACAAGACCGTTCTTCCATTACCTATGGGAAATATATGACATAGATGATCCCTACCCTTGCTAATTAAGTTATAAGCTTATAATAAGTCCCATAAGCTTATACTCTTATGACTAAACTTATAGAAAGTAACATTACAATAAAAATAAAAAAATTAACCCGTCCCACGGATTTTAACTAATGTTATATATTTTACCTTATTAAGTTACATATGCTGTCACGTATCGATTTACACCAATCCAAGGTTGTCCACACAAAACGAGGCGAGTGGCCAGGAGTGTCTCGTCTCGACGTCCACGACTAGAGAGAGAAGCGCAGGCCAAGTATGAAGTTTGCGCATTACATGTTTAGGTAGTCTTTTGGTTCAATACAAAATTCGTACTTCGACATTCCGATACGACAGTTGGACAAGTTTGACACTAGTGGTCAAGTTATGTAAAAATCGGTTTAAGCTGAACCAAAGATTAGAATAAACTTGTACATAAATAAATAAAAAAGTTTAATAATTTAATAATATAAAAAATAATTTCTTTTTTTAGGTGTAAAAAAATATCCTTATATTATGAAAAGCAATTAGCCAAATTGCGCAAAAAAACCCATACTTATAAGCTTATATGTAAACGAAAGTTTAAGGGTAGGGATCATAGTGTCATCTATTGTTTCTGTATAGTATTATATCGTTATTTGTTGTGCTCTCATTCTGTTTACGAGAACAAGATTATTGCAATAAGCAACGATTCCTAGGACAAACTAGTCGTACTTAAAACTACTTAAAGTTCCCCCCTTTTTGATCACGGCGTAGAGCCTCGCGTGGATAGGAAAGTTGACTCTCGTAATTGTACCTAAAGAAGGCGTTTAATAGTTAATGGAGTTTTTTTGTCCTGTATGTGCAAACCTACAACATATTGGTGTTTATATTTTTTTCCTATGTATCGTGTCATAATACTCTTTACACTTCTTTAGTCTTAAAGTGTGTCCAGTCGTGATTTGTATCTCCCTGTGCTAGAACTCGAAATACCTATATGTGTATGGTTTGATATACAGGACAAAATATAATATGACCTCTCTTATTGTACCTTCTTTGGTCAATTCGAGATCAACTTCCTTGAGATCTTGCAGTGATCATTAAGGGGACTTTAGTTAGTTTTAGTATCTCACTCGTTTGTCTGGATCGTTGCTTATTGAATCTTTGTTCTCCGTAGAACGTCGCACATCAGTATACTATATCAGAAATAGTGAGCATCTATCGATCCCTACCCTTAAAACTTTCGTTTACATATAAGCTTATAAGTTGGGGGGTTTTTTGCCAATTGGCAATTGGCTTTTTCATATATAGGATATTTTTTTTCACCTTAAAAAAGAAATTTAATTTTTTTTTTAATTAATTAATTAAACTTTTTTATTTATTTATGTCAAGTTTATTCATGATCTTTGGTTTCAGCTGTAAACATTTGTTACATAGCCTTGACCACTACGCTGTCAACTTTCGTCAAACTGTCGATATCCCGGATGTCCGAAAAGTAGAATTTTGTATTGAACCAAAAGACTACCTAAACCTGGTATTGCCGCTCCACTTTATATTGCCGCCTGCGCTCTCTCTCTCTAGTCGTGGACCGTCGAGACCGGAGGGACACTCCCTGCGGCCACTCGCCTCCGTTTTTGTGTGGCCGACGCTCGCGATTGTGTAAATTCGATACCGTGACAGCTATGTAACTTAATAAGCGTAAACTATTATACCTGGTAGTTAAATCCAGTGGGGGTTAATTCTTTTATTTTTATTTTAATTCGTTTATTTCTATAAGTATGTGGTATAAGAGGTATAAGCTTATGGACTTTTATCTAAAGCTTATAAACTAATTAGCAAGGGTAGGGATCATCTATCCGTCATATATTTCTACGGTAGATGGGAAAACCGCTTTGTGTACGGCTCAGTGTTATGGTGGTTCGAATAAAGGTGCAACCATCAAAACCCGTCATATTTAAGTCCCCACAAATATGCGTTCTAGATCATCGGCAAGGAGCAGTCCGTGGAGGTCTGGACGTCCTCGCAAGACCTTTGACGAAGGCAAGGGAGGGTGACGAAAGACTGGGGCGGACTGCCTCGAAATAGTGGGGGTGTTCGCGAGGGACCCCGTTTCGGTGTGTGTGTGTCGGGGGTGTGTAAATTTATTTCTCCGTCAAACGAAACCTCTCCTACTTCGTATGCAGGACCGTAGTCATTTCTACCTCTTACGAGTTACTTAGTAGTTACCGTACGGAAAGTTAAGTTACCGGGGGGTAAGGTGCGTCGGTGGTAACTCTCCTTATGTAACCGAACTTTATGTCTCCTGTGCTTAGGTTTATCAGCGGATAACCTAGGTCAGACAGGGACCTGACTGCGGACTAAACATAAATTCGATGTAGTTTCAGATTAAGTCGTAAATCTTCCTACGTATTTTCCTTCTTAGGCAGACGTTGTTTTGTTGTGTGGCGTAGAAGAAACAAATTTTCAGTATAAATTAATTACAGAGACCCCTTTGACAGGAAACAATAACTTGCGAATAGTCACCCCGTCTCTGTCATGTTCAGCCGGTCCTTCTGCACCGGCCAGTTCCCGTTTATAGGGAAAGAAAATTTTCTTCTGCTAACCGCTGAGTAGGAATTTGGTCGTCCTAACGGCCTAAGACCCCCTAACTCTGCGCCGTAACGACTACTCAACCAAAAAAATGGTCAGGTAAATTTTTCGAGCCAAAAAGTTCGTGAGTTCATTCCATTCCGTTCATATACATCTACTCCGTGGAAAGTTTGTGTTCCGATTTAAAATTTTTTCGAGGGGTACAAATCAAGACCAAGACCCTCGTCTGTCGTCAGAGTCTTCTGGGCGACTCTCAAGACCTACTCAACAGTAGTGTAAATCGTCCCTAGTCTTATCGTTGGTAACGTCACGAAATATTTGCCCGACAAGAGACTGTCCTTCGGTCAACATTTCTGAGTCTTAACCGACGTGCAAGATTCACAATCTTCGCCACAAGACTTATGGGTCCAACCGTCGAAGGATTACAAAATCACTCTGGACATTTTCTGGTTTCTGTGAAAAAAAGTTTACGACGCACTGTAATCAGAAAATTAGGAGTTATATGAAGGTGGATGGGGATCGCTGAACAAACAATAAAAAGTACNCATGTGTTTGCAAAAGGTAGATGGATACTTTATATACTGTATCTACTAGGGATGGGAACGATTAATCAAATATTCGAAATGATTCAGGTATTCGAATATGAGTTATGAATATCTTTATTGTAATTTTATTTTTATTTTTTAAATTGGGAGGGGTGCCTAAGTTGATTACATATTATCAAATGGAATAATTCAATGTATACGACAGTGCCATAGCTAACTGTGTTAGGTCCAAAGGTGTGTTATCGGTTAACCGATTTTTTGGGGGTTGAATATTCGAATATACATTTGCTTTCAAATTCCCATCCCTAGTATCTACAGTAGATAAGACATATATCATTAAGAATACACGTTGTAAGATGGTCTTGTTCTAAGTTATTCGTTGCTAGGTCTGTTTGTCACATGATTTTGATGATTTCAGGGGGAAACTAGTGACGTTCTAGGAGTTCCTTCAACTAGAGCTTAACTGGGTTTTCTTCCATTATATTTCTCAGAAAACAGGACATATAGTTGGATGTGTATACCCATAAGTCAAGAATCGTGCCAGTTTAGTGGACCTGTGTGAAATTCTAATTTCTACTCAAGAAAGATTGATTGGAACTGATCAACTTGGAAATTTGACAACCAATGCAAACATGGATTTAAAAAGGCGATATTTACGATGTTGGTTAAGCAAATACCACGATTGGGCCTTAAGTTAGAAATATCAAAAACACAACTTGGACTTTGACTCCTTGACTCTGACTCCTTAGACTTTGAGTCCGTAGACTTTGACTCCTTAGACTTGGTCCCTTAGAATTTGACTCCTTGGGCTTTTTGACTCCTTGTATTTGACCATATCTTTGTTTCTGTGTGTTGCAGACGAGGCAGGCCCGGGCCCCGTGAAGAGCAAGTACGATGCACTGGACTTTGACACTCTGCTGAAGGAGGCCCAGAAGTCCTTGCACCGCTGACAGCGCCCCCTCCTGGCAGCCTTAGTGAACTACACCCTCTACTACAGGGCCCTCAGAAAGGCCCATTAGTACCCCCATGCAAGGCAACCTCGCAAAATGTTTACATTTTTACCATTGGAATAAAGTAGTGATAAGGACCTCGTTGTTTTTTTTTCTTTCACCGGAGGATATATTGCTTAAAAACGAGGAATCCACCGTAGAGCAAAAGGACTTACAACAGTACAACGAGTACGAACGATGATACAGCTGTTTGCTGACAATAACCGTCTGTTGGTGACTTCAGAGGACCTCTGTAGCAAAACCTTGCTATTCCTACGTTGGTCGTCGTGGTGTGTGTGTTTCTGCGTGTGCGTGTTATTCGTTCTGTTCGTTTTGTAATAAAAAAAAGATAAAACCTCCCCTTTTCCGGTTACGGGTGGCGAAGCTGCAAGATGCAAGCTTCAGGCTGTTAACCAGAACAAAAAAAAACCTGCTTTGTTTTAGCGAAGAATTGTGGATGTTATAAATTCTAAAATCTATTGTGTGTGTGTTATGGACAAAGAATATATAAAAAAACATTTAACGTAATCATTTGATGACTGATACAAGTTTACAAATCTAAAATGAAGAAGAAGAAACTCATGTTTTTTTTTCTTTTTTGTAATTGTAGTGCTTCCTTGATTTGATCTATGCACTGTACGGAAGGAAACGCCTCCTCCACGTTCCCTATTTGAATCGAACTCTGCCATGCTTTAGGTTTCTGCTACTGGCTGCTACAGGCTCTGTTTGGTAGGCGTTTCATACATTAAGACCCCGACTATGACCTGGAAAAATATGTACCTTTATATTTATTCCAACCCATGCAAACACGGATTGGAAAGGCAATATTTACTGCGTTTGTTGAGCAAATCCCAAGTTAGAAAACACAATTTGACGAGTGTTTCATGGGTTGCTTCCAGGTACGTTTTTTCCACATCTGGAGGGGTCTTGATGTAACTTTTATAGGGTCCCACTGAACATGTGTCCTCTGAAGGATGCAGCCTAATGACACCCACAGCCAATGCAACACTTACTGTTTACATTTGGACTGCAGCAAGCAGGACAATAATGGGGAAATGAAGATGGTAGCCATAGAATACTTTATATCATACTTTGTTATGAATCCATCACAGCTGCACTTTGTCCAGATCCTCCCAGTCCAATCTCCGTTACAGTCATTCAACTATTGTTAATGTCCTGGTGACATTAGTGCATTGGGTTTCTTAGTTTAAAGGGGATCAAGACCACTTTGCTCCCCCCCCTATAATCCACATCATCATCACAAGAAGTAGACAAATCTGTTGGAATGTATTCAAGAATTTGAATGTAATCATCAAGTTTTCCCCATTTCTGCTTGCCCAAAGATTGTGGAGTTTTTTTGGTGCTTTAAAGTAAGTTGTCCGGTCTGCAGGAAATTACCATTTGAAATGCAGTCCGGTTAGAACCGCTTTCCTGACGCAGCCAGTAGCAGTGAAAAGGGAGAGAGCCTCCACACCTATAGTGCCAATATGGTGGCACCAAAGGGCGAGCGAGGGACGGGCTTGAAAGTAAAAAACAAAACAATCGGCCGAAAATCTGGTTTCTCATCCGGGAGGTAACAGCTGATCTCTACCTCACATCCATCCGTCCCTTTCTCCATCTTCTGGAGGCTCTCGGCCATCTTCTTTTATGAGTTCATTCTGTCAGAAATGTTCTTCTGTCTGTCCCTAACTTATGGGTCGTTTCGGGGTTTGTCTTTGACTTTTGATACTATGGCTCAAAAGGGGAATAATCTCTGTCTCTCTTTCTCTAACTCTTTCCTCCGCTTGCCTCATAACGGTTTTAAGCGTGTCCGTTACTTGGAGTCTCGACCGTGTGTCCGTGTGTTTCTGAGTGTTTCGTCTTTGTCTCGTGTTTGAGTCGGACACTGCTGGCGCTTGCAGGTCGGTGAGGAGGGGTCGAACGCTGGCTTAAGGGTTTGTTCGGTCCTCGATCGAAGGGGGAAGAGTCTCCTGGTCTTCAGTTTTTATTCAGGGACACGTTCCTCCTCTCCTCGCCTAAGAATTTCAATAAATCGCAGCCCGACTCCCTCTAAACTATCGCTTTCCGTCTCGTGGGTTCTAGGCCTCGGGTCTTCCCCAAACCCCTGGTAACCTCCCGCTTTATAACAAATAATCCCTCTTCTACCCGTCCTATCTAATCAACTCCTTGGTAACACACACAAAAAATTGAATGTTTACATCACTCGATTCTCCTTTGACTTTATTAGGAACGCAGACTTAGTACAAAGGCGCCTTATTCAGTGTTTAAAAAAATAGTAATTAACAGCAAAGTGAAGCGTTACCTTCTCCAGGCTCACTGATGTCCAAATCTAACAAAAACACTTTAGTGCTATACATACTGATTGAGAAGTTATTAAAACAATTATTTAAAAACACAAACAACTGAATAAGTATTTGTGCTTAGTATGGATACTACTAAAAAAGTGAGAGAATGTGCTGGTTTACATATAAAAAAAAAGAATATATATAAATATAAAATGTGTATATAGCACTATGCCTCGTTGTAAACATAAATTGTATTGTGTGTTTTTTTATTTTTAAGTGGCGGGTTATAGTTGATAGCTAATCAGACAGTCAGTACAGGGAGGACATGAAGGGAATTGAGATAAGTTCAAACTCTTGTAAAAGACATCCCTTTAGACTATCACACTAAAAGGTTTCTTTGCTGTTTATGAAATGACTCAATATTTTTTTATGTTTTTTTTTAATGTTTTGTTCAAGAGCAATTTGAAATGCAATACATAATAATCTTATCTTTAAGACAGCCTTTCCGACACACTGAGGTAATAATAATATATAGGTTGGTTGTTGAGCGACGGATCCAATAGAATACTGTACTGTATGTAGACTGCTGTTAAACACAAAAAACACATAAAAACTACAGGAAGAAAGGGGGTAGTTGTGAACACATATACAAAACAAATCGTACCGTATACTCTTGCACAAATAACGTCCCAAGTGGTGAAATATCTTCAAAGTTTTTATTTTCGTTGAAAGGAAGCCATTGTAACTGCTATCACCTTCGATGGTGCACAGGTGTGTTGAACACCTGTACTACAGGAACAGCCAATAACTAAACATGTGTGACTGGTGGAGGAATGTGGGGGGATGGGAAAGGAGACAAAAGCAAGTCGTCGCTGGTTTGACCCGGTTCTACTTTCACATTAGTTGATACTGATAAGGAAGACACTGTAGAAATCCCAGTTTAAATGATTACACCACGACTGTGTACCACAAAGGAAGTATAACTTACAGAACGCTTGGCCCAACTAGCTGGGACGTGTTGTGTTTTAGACGCTAATTAAAGCATAAAAGCAGTCAGATTCGGCACATTTGGGAATGTTGCATAGACATAAAACATAGAGTGGAAGTCATGGATACAGTAGGAGAAGAAATTTGCTTCCCTTTTACTAACGGGAAAAACTGAAAAGGCTTTCGTTAGCATCTTGCTAACCCTTCCACGTGACAAAGCTAGCTCTTGTTTGGCCTGTTGGGAGATCTTAGTTTCTTCGTATAATCCAACATGTGTATGTCGAGGATCTCTTGAAACTGAGAGTCAGTGGTTGGGTTTCTACAGTGTCTGCCGCCGTGCCAGTTAGGGTGCCTCGATTTTCTAGAGGTTAATGACGTTGGAGAACCCATTTTTCATCCTGGCAAGCCTTAAAATCAATCGGGAGGGGAAGACGAAGCTACCACTAGCTTTTATTATTGCTGTTTCAACTCCTTTCCAATCCAATGCGGTTTATTATTAAATGATTACTGACGTAATTACAACTTTTTTCAATAGCCATATTATAAAAAGGTATATACATATATTATGAATATATATTTGTGTGTTTGTGTAGATATCTAGATGATTATATACTTTCTTATAGAAAACTTTGATGTTGACCATTCTCTTCGGTGTTTTGAGAACACGTTGACACATTTCAACAGAATAATAATACTGCTGTCCGCTTGGTCTAGGTCCTAGGTCGGTGGACAACAAATCAAAAAAAAAAAAAAAAAAACGTCCTTCCAAAGGGAAACACCCTCAGAATGCAATACCTTTCTGCCCATTCTTCATTTCAGGAAAAAATGGCAAGAAAACCGTAAAACTTGAGAGGCAAGTTGACCAAAAAAAGACACCTTTACACACCGACAATAACGAGCGTGGCTAAGGGGCGGCTGTGGGGGTTTGCCACGGCCATTTCAGATCCAGTTTTTTAGATGTTTCCAATGCCATGGGCCACTAAAAACACGTCTTTGTTCTCACGTCACTTACTGTTTTACTTTGGGAAAAAACAATGTATCTGTCAGCTATAGCTACACCGTCAAAGAGTGCTTTCAACGCCGGCCTCAGATTCCTCTTCCATGTCTGATCTGAACGCTTGTGTCAACACCTACAGTCGTTCCACACACACACACACACACACACACACACACACACACACACACACACACACACACACACACACACACACACACACACACACACACACACACAAATGGGTAACCTGTCAAACTTGATGTCAAACAGGCACTTAGTAGGGACTGCAAACTGTCTAAATCTGCTAAATGTGAGCGGCTGTTCTCTGGTGGAAGTTAATATTTTGACATAAAGGGCATACATTGTTTTTGATGTTTTTCTTGATTTTATTGTCTATTCACATCTAATGACTATCAAATTCACATAAATGATTTTTCTTTTTTAACTTTAGTTTTTGGTAAAACAAAAAAGGTAAATACTGCTAGTGAGATTTTATATTTTTACATATGTTGGTTTTATTTTGTGTTTTTTTTTATTTATACGCCACTTAGTTTGGATGTCTTTAAATGGTGTTTTTTTTCTTTCTTTGTTTTGTGTGATTTCATATGTCTTGAGAATGTGGAGACAAAGGCATTTCAGTATTTTTGAATTGTTAAAATCTAGTTTCATAGAAGCGGAAGTATCTGATGTTATAAATTATATTTTAATTCATGTAAATAGTTTAAAACAGAAGACTATGGCTTCCTTTTAAACTGAATACATTTCTCTTCAGAGATTGTTTACATTATGAAACTGTAGAGATGTGCTCCTCATATACTGTATAAAGTACATATATTCATTGATTTGCCTCCAAAAAATAAAATCCTAATGAACAGCACTCTGTCTGCGCATCACGTGTTTTTGAATGTTGAAACAGCACATTATAATATGTTGTTAAAATCACTGTTACGGGTGTTACGTTTCAGGACATTGAAAGAAAGATTACACACTTTTTTAAATACAGAATACATGTTGTTTTACTATATAATCAGGGTGTAGATGGATATTATTATTCAACTAATAAAGTCAGAATTTTTAGATTTTGAGAAAAAAGTCAGAATTTTTAGGGAAAAGTCCGAAATTTTAGATTTTTATTAAAAAAAGTCTAACATTTAGGATTGTTTGAAAAAGTCAGAATTATTAGATTTTTAGAAAGATTCTGAATTTGAAAATTTCAGAAAAAAAAAAGAATTTTGAGCAGAAAGTCAGAATTTGGAAAATAAATGCATCTATCTCTAGCAGCGAACCGTGTCTATCACAACTGGACCTTCTGTAGACACACCCCCCCTCCC